CCACCATGGGAAAGTTTGTCATATTTAACAAGTACTAAGAGCAGCCTTTCCATTGTGACATCAACCGAGTGTTTCACAGATATTGGTTTATTCCATCCCAAAGGCTTCCCTGTAGAGTCAGTGTTATTATTACCCCTCCTTTCAGAGAAGGTCTTGTAGCTGGCTTGTGGGTGGAGCTCAGTCCCATCCTTCAGAGTCTGGCATTGGCGAGCATCTCCTTTGGGTGTTTATTCTGAGACCTAGGTACTGACTTCTCACCACTCAGGAGTAGCTATGCTCTCCTAACCTCTCTTGTGCTCTGAGAGGAGGAATGAAATTTAAGACAGAGAACTCACACAACTGATGGGAGGAAATGATGACAGTTTGAAAGAAACCATCAGTATCATTGGGTAAATCTCTGCCACTCAAACATTCAAGCCCATTAAACACTTTGAATATTCCTGGACCATGTTAAAATTTGATCCCTAAGCAGGAAATTTTAGAATTGCTTTGAAAATGATTTGAGTGGTAGAAAATAGTTTCCTCCTCAGTATTTTTTTTTTCCTTAAAAAGTTCCTTTTTGGTTAGGTTTTCTGTTATCATCAATCTAGACAAGTTTCCTGCCTTGGGCTGCTGGAGGAGAAAGATGTGGCTGCAGAGCGAGCATCCGGCTTCCTACCTGGATCTCCCCCAGGCTGGAGACCATAGTCCTTTGCTGATGGTTCCTCTTAGCTGGCAAAGGCTGATGAATTCAGGGAGATGACTGGGAGGCTTGTATTGGCTGCAAGCCCCAAGACTCTTTTGTTCCATGGGATAAGCAGGATTCTTGGAATTGGAAACAGTCCCTGGGAGCTGACCTCCTCACAGCCTGAACTTCGAAGCTCTCCCCTCCCCATTCCCATGGCTGGTACCTACACAGAGACAAATCTTTCATTCACCTGCTCTTTTCCTTCCTCTGCCAGACATGGCTGTCCAGATTAGGTCCTGCCTTTTTAGAATTTTGGAAGCCTTACTGTTGTCTCCCCGCGACTGCCTGCTGTCTCTGTGTCCTATAATTGGACTTTTTTAGTGCAAGTCCCCTCCTTCAAAAAAATGCTAGGTCCCTCTTATGGCACTATCTGTCATGCACAGTGAATGTCTAATAAAGCTAATTAATAAGAAGTCACTTATTAATAATATGGGAGTCATCATAACATAGAAGACAAAAAGCCAAACCAACTCCAGCAGGCCAGCAATGCAGCACAGCCCTTGGGATGTAAGAGCAAAAAGAGCACAAGGAATGTTTGCAAGGGACTCTGGGAAAAATGCTTTGGCCTAATAACCTTGGGGGATATGCTTGAAACCTACTCAGGAGAAGGGCATGTGGGGATGTTAGTGACTTCAGATCAATGCAGTAGAGAAGATTGGGGGACTGGAGAACTTGGATCTATTAAGGTCCTGCCTAAGGGATTGGAAGAGCTGTTTAATGCCATTCCTAGTGGCTGGATCTTGATATAAGAAGTTTTTGAGAGTTGTAGGGTTGTTTAGAGTAGAAGGATAGGAAAACAGAAAGTAGAACCCATTTAGCCAGGACATACAACTCAATTGGTAGGGTGTGTGTTTAATATGCACAAAGCCTTGGGTTCAATTTGTAGTTATGTATAAGTGCATGGCATTAGATAGCTATAATCCTGGAAGTAGGAGGTAGAGGAGGCAGCAGGAGAAGCAAAAGTTCCAGGCTGTCTTAGCAAATTTGAGGCTAGCTTGGGCTACCCCAGATCATGTCTCAAACAAGCCAGCAAGTAAACAAATGAAGAAATAACGAAACAAAACACCAAAGCTCCAAATGAAGTCATTGACGCTTACAATCATGTTGCAAAGATAATTGGAAAAATCTGTAAGTGAAAGTTAGAAACTTTGCAAAAGAGGATCTGGGAAGATGTATCAGAGGGTAATAGCATTTGCAACGTAAGCATGAGGACCTCGGTTCAAATGCCCAGCACTTACTTTAAGCAACTGAGTGTGGTCACAAGAGACTACAATCTTAATGCTGCGTGGGGAGACAGTAGTTCTCTGGAGTTTTATGGCTCCCAATTCAGTGAGAGACCTTGTCTCAAGGAAATATGGGAGAGAGTGATAGAGCAGGACAGCAGACACGAAGTCTGCTTATCCAGAATCCTGATTTTACATGCACAGTCTTATTTAAAAATGTGCATTGTACAATCTTCAGTGAAAGATGCAGTAAAACCAGCTTGCACAAGGGTTAAATGAGATGCTCTGTTAGTGCCTGCCACATGCCTCCCTTAGTACTGGGAAGGTGGTAATAACTCTAGAGAGCAGGCTTGTTAACTGCGTTGTGCTAGTAGGGTCAAGACAGTTGGTCGTGCAAGGCCCAGTTCATCTGGTTGGTTACTGCTAACTTAAATTCTGCTCTGACAATAGCAATGGAAATTCTTGATGATGGATGCCTTTAGGCTATTTACTATTATAGGTGCTTAGCCATGATGCTTCTCTCTCTCCCCCTCCTCCCTCCCTCCCTCTCTTTCATGAATGTGCATGTACATGTTCTTGTTCGTGTGTGTGTGTGTGTGTGTGTGTGTGTGTGTGTATGTGTGGGTTAGAGGTTGGTGTCTTCTTTAATCATTCTATGCCTTATTATTTTTTATCAACATGTTTTCTGTATGTATGAATGTATGCATGTGCATGTCTGTGTGAGTGTATGACAGGTGTATGAAGAGGTTAGACAATGCCCTAGAGCCCTAGAGCTGAAGTCATAAAGCAGTTTCGAGTTTGCCCAGTGTGGGTACCAGGAAGTGAAGTCTGTCTTGGGTTCTCTAAGAGCAGGAAGCACTCTTTCAGCAGAGCCCTCTCTCCAGCAGCGCACACTTTGTTTATTGAGACGAGTGTCTCACTGGGAGCTGGAGCTTCTGACTTGGCCAGCCTTGCTGGCAGATGTGTCTTAGTGACACATTTGTCTCTATCTCCCTAGTTCAGCTTCAGCATTCAGCTTTCTACATGGGTGCTGGGGAACTCAGGCCCTCATGCTTGCCTGGCAAATACTTTATTGACTGACTTGTCTCTCCAAGCCTTCTGCTTTAGGCTTTTGCCTTCACATCCCTTGGGCCTTTTCCTGATAGGTTACATCTTCTGAATTTTCCTGGTACATTCTGGGAACAAATAAGATGCTCAGGCCTTGAAGAAGGCTTGCTAAAGTGGACACAGGTGTGGAGCCAGGACAGTTCAGGTCTACAGTAAACAGACGGAGATGAAAAGCTGTGTATAAGATTAATTCATGGAGACATAATTTTTTGCGTTTCCATGTATGTTGGATGCATGGGGCTATTGAAGGATGTGAAACACACACATACACACAATCAGGCATGCACACAAGCACACACATGCAGAAAAAAAAAGATTATGATCTGCAAAGCCAAACATACTTTACCATACACTAACAACTTTGGCATTGTTTGTGATCATTTATGCTTAGCCCAAGTGCAACTAGTTTAGCAAGCTCGTTTTAAAATGCCCTGTCTCCAGATTCGAATAGCTGTTCATTATTGACAGTCCCATTGAGTGTCCTTTACCCTATTCTTTTTACATTCCTGTACTTACATGAGTGCACCTCTGCCTCTGTCCAATGGGTTGAAGATTTACTGGGCCCAGGGACCTTGACAAACCCATGTGATATCTTGTGAGCATGATGCTTGGGACACACAGCAATGAAGCTGGCAGAGGTGAGATTGTGCTGCAAAGGGCACAGGTGTGAGGGAGGCCATCCTGGGAAGGGAAGCGTAGGAGGCCTACCTCTGGATTTGCGTAGACCTGATTTTAAATTTCTCGTCAGCTACTTCTGCCTCGATGGCCTTGGGGAACATTTGTAAAACTCAAGATAGACTCCAGTTAGTACTGGTCTCAGTGAGCTAAAAAATAGGCTGGCCCATGGCAAGTGTTTGGCAGCTGTTAGTGACTATTATTGACCGTTGGTGTTGGCCAAGAGAACAATGGTGCACAAATATATCCCTGTAAAAAATGGGCAGGAGTAGAAAGGACTTGGGGATGTTTCCTTGCTATGAGCATCAAGGTCTGATACCGAAAAGAAGCTTTTTTTTTTTTTGTTTGTTTGTTTGTTGCTATCAACTGTCATCACTTGTTTAGACTTGACTTGGGAAATGCCCACACTAATCTATCAAAGTTGGTGATGGATTTCTGAGAGTTTTGGAGGGTTGTGGAAATGCCTCGACACTGCGGTCTGGGTACCAATCAGGGGTAAGCACATCCTTCTGGCCCACTAGTGCTTGAACCCTGTCTCTATATCCTTCAGCTTTCAGCTGCCCTGGGATGGACTCAGCCACACTATGGGGCCTGTTTTCCTCAGCAAGGGCCCTCTGAATGGACGTATAATTTGTCGCCTTCATTTCCACTTCCCCAGCCACCTCCCCTTGTGTCTCATCTTGAGCCAACTGTCAGAGAGATGTTTGTTGAAGGAATGGATTCCTGTCCTAGTTACAGCCCTGACCTCCACCAGACACTCAAACATTGCCCTGATTTTATAAGGAAAAGTGAGAAACTGAGGCTCACTTTAGGGTTAGCATTCTAGCTGCTTCTTTAGTCAGCAGTGAACAGTCCTAGGAGGGTACAGGAGTGTGAGGATTTCTTTTTCTTTCTTCTTTTTTATTTAAAAAAAAAAATTATTTGGATTCTTGCTCTAGTTTTGGAGAGGAACTCTTCTCTCAGGCTTGGATGAGGGGCGAATGATACTCCAGAGACCAGGTCTTACTCGATGAGGGGCTGCAGACTGCTCCTTCTCAGCTTTCTGCAAAACACCCAGGAAGGAGGCGAAGCCCAGAGCCAGACAGTCTAAGCTGTCTCTTTAAATGCTGGGGTCTGTGTGGGAGAGGGAGGGGCCAGTTCTGGAGTGCGTGAAATTCCTGGGCTCCTCCGGCAGTCTCAGGCTCAGAGCGCAGCCCTACACATCTCCTCTCGCATGCAACTCACCGAGAGAGGGAGAGGCAGCGTGTCCTCCCCTTACACGGCCGCCCGCAGCTCCAGGCACACGGGACCTGCTTTTAGCATCTCCAGCGTCCTCTCTTCTTCCCTGCCACTCCCTCCCAGAGACAGAAAAAGAGAGAAAGAGAAAGAAAGAAAAAGGAAAAGGAGTCAGAAAGATTCTGGGATTTGAATCTTTCCAAGGAGGAAACACCCAGCAAACTCAGTTGATTAAACACCAAACTGACAGATACCCAACTCTTCGGTTCGAGCCAGAGGTAAGATTCTGGGGAAAAGGCAGGCAGGCAGGAGGCGAAACGCGACTCCAGGGTTTGTCCATTCCGGGAAGAGGCTGCACCTGAGAGGGTAGAAGTTTTCTTCTGGGAGCGACCAACCTAGATTCTTCTTTCATTCTTTCCTCTTTAAACGCTGGATTTGAGGAATACGACAGACCACGGGAATGGCTTTTCAACTCCTCTTCTTTCACTTCGGTTTCTCCTGGAAGTTGGGTCGTTTTGCTCCAGACGTTAGGAAAGTCAGAAAATGTTTTAGATTTATTATACTCTTCCTCTTCTTTTACTTACTTATTTGTTTTTTTTTTTTTAAAAGACTTTCTCCTATTTGATTGGATTATTAATCCAAAATGATGCGTGTCTATCACTTCCGTTTAGGTTGGTACTTTTTTTCCCCCCTTGACATTTTGAAGCCACTTTCTCTCTTTTCCTGGAGAAGAGACTTTGAGAATTACAAGAAGACAAAACAGGATGGAGACAGGGATTTCCCTTAGGTGTTAAGAAACCGAGTTATACATGGAGTGTGTGTGTGTGTGTGTGTGTGTGTGTGTGTGTATACACTTATGTGTGGTTTTATTGAAGGGGGTGTGGAAAGGTCATTCTTAAGTAAAATTTCAGTTTGGACCACTGCTGTCTTGGGAAGGTGGCACCCTCAAGAGGTGAAAAGGTTTGTGTGCTGTGTGTGTGTGTGTGTGTGTGTGTGTGTGTGTGTGCTCTTCTCTTTGGATCAGTTACAAGGGAAATCTTCCTCCTTCGCCTTCCATTTGTTTATATTAATGATTTAGTAGCAAGCTTGTCTGAAAACTTCCACTCTGTGTAAGCACTGTGGGTTTTGCAAGCTCCGAGTGACCTTAAAGCCTGGTTCGACGTATTGTTTTTTCAAAGCTTCCTGTTGTATCCAGAGTTTGGGCTCTTTCCCTCTCTCTTTCCTAACCACAAAACTTAACTACTCTAGAAACATTGTACTGATGACAATGAAAAGAAAAATCTGTCCCCCAGCCCCCATTCCTCACTGAGCTAGTGATGTAATACCAACCTATGGGCTCTGCTGCCTTGCAGGTGACTTATCTTGTGAGTACTTGTTAAAAAAAAAATTAATTGCTCCCTCCCTGCATTAAATGCATCCTTCTTTTGATTTCGCCCAGAAGAACTGTGTGATGAGAAAATTGTATATGTATACATTTTGCAAATTATTATTGCGTTTAGGCAGGGTAGGTTTTCTCTTCCTTAGTCTTTATTTTGTATTACAGTAATTATTATTATTTTAATGCAAAGGTCAGAGATCGTGGAGAGCTAGTCTAGGATAGAGTGATCCTGTTGGACCGCATAGAGTAGGTAGAATAGAAACTGTCTTCTCCCCGCTTTTTCCAGCTGTTCCCGCTTTGGGGAGAGAGTGTTTCATTTGCCACCCCGATCCATCCCAACATTCTGAATTATTTTTTTCTGCCCTAAGTCTAGAGGATAGCCCCAAGAGAGGGGGGGCACTCCTTGTCACACCTGGAGGACGGTGTAGTTTCAGGGGTCAGATGACCGTCTGTCTTTGTGATGAAGGGTTTGAAGGAAATTTGAACTGCCAGCATGCTGGGTGACTTGGGTGCTGGGATAGTCTATCTGGGGGCACCTGGAGGTTAGTCAGGGGAGCCTGAGGAACCGTCCCTTCCCTAATGTGCTGCTCTGGGTAGAGCCTTCCTTCATCGTTCAAGGGCTTCAGCATCGCCTTTCAAGTTACAATGGTCCCGCCGGCTATGATGGGCAAGTTTACCTAAGGGCTGCTGGGTACGTGTCTAAAGGATGGTGGGAGAAGCCAGGCAAAGCTGGTATTTTTCTTTCTTAATCTTCAGGCTTAATCTGCCCAAGTCGTATCGGGGTAAACGATATTTCAGATGGGTGCTGGTCGTGCAGCTGTATCCCTATTGTTTGATTTTTTTTTTTTTTTTTTTGTTGTTGTTATTGGGGAAATGGAGTAAGGGTTCTTGGCCCATTTTTTGCAGCTCTGGGTTCACCCTTCAGGCCAATCTTCCTTTTGGGAGAAGGGGGAAAATGCTGGACACTGGAAGTTCGCTATTAGTGAGCAACAGGGCTGGGTTAAAAAACATTTTTTTTTTTTAAACAACTGGACTGTGCAAATGCCCTTTTTCTGGAGCTTTCTGGTCCTTTCTAATGAAATAATAATTTTTTCAAAATTGCTTCTTAAGAAGCGAGACCAAGAATCAAAGGAATTCTAGATTTTGAGAGACTACTACGTCTTTGCTTCTCTGGTAGCTCCCTATTATTAATAACTGGGGGACTGGTGGGGGGGACGGCCTCTGTTTTTGTTGCTTTCTTTTTAATGCTGCGTTCCTATGTTGATGGTTGCTGCTTATATAAGGAAGGGATGTATCGAGGTGGATTGATGCTTGGGGTTTTGAGATCGGCTACTGAGATTGGGTGGCGGTTGGTGTGTTTGTCGATGTGCATGGTAGGAAGGTCTTTTCTTTTGGATGGTGGGGGACAAGGGAATGGTCGGGGAATGGTAGATGAGATGCTCCAGTGAATGGGGACGTGAGGGGACATAGAGGTGAGGTTGGAAGTCACCGATTTGCAGAATTTCTGTCCTGTATCCCCCCCTTTCTCTCGCTCCTCAAAAAAAAAAAATCCATTATCTCTAAAAACACATTATTCTTCAATTGGCCTTTTAGAGAAAGAGAGAGAGAGAGAGAAAGAGAGAGAGGGAGGGAGGGGAGGGGTTAATTTGGTGAGGGGGCTTGGTTGTAATTAGCCCACTGCTGCAAAACTGAGATACACAAATCCATCAGCACCAGCTTTGGGTTCTCTGAGAAGCAGCGGAGAGATGGGGCCGGGTTGTCAGCCTTGGACGAACAGTGTAGGCGGTGGGGTTGGTGTTTGGGTATTGTGTGTGCGTTTGTGTCTCTGTGTGCGTGCGGTTTTGTCCACTCCTTCACCAATTTCCCCCTCCATCCTCCCACAATCCTGCCATGGTCTTATCTTCCATTTCTATGCACTGTCCCCTCTACCCTCTACCCAGCCCCCCCTTTCCTTCAGTCCTTTCCATCTCCATGAAAAAGAAAATTTTGATTCTGATGACTATGCGGCTCTTTTTTTTTTTTTTTTTTGTCTTTTGCAACACAACAGTGGTGCGATGGCCTTTCCTACATGCCACACGGATGCAGCCTTCTGATAGGAGGGCTAAGTCGGCACATCCACACACGCAACGGCACACGCTTTTGCACACACATTCTCTCACACTCGCAGGCGACCAAGGGCTTGATTGCATTTGGTCCTTTTTGTTGCCTTTGCTTCTTCCCCCACTGCCACCTCTAGCCATGGCCCCTCTGCCCATTTTCACGCAGGGGAACACAGGAATGCTATAGCCTCTTCTTCTTGCTACCGCTGCTGTTTTGCTCTATTGCTATTATTCTTTCCTAAATGCTGTTGTGTGTCACAGTTCATGGGATTAGTATGTTGTTGGGGGTGGATATCTCATGAGGAGGTGGGTAGATGATTTCTAATGATTTTTTTTTTTTTTTTTGGGCCAAATAAGCACTCGGTGATAATGATCCAATTTAACCATCCATGAAATCTATGTTTGCGGCACACTGAAGGGAGGTTGCAGGGGAAAGCAGGGTCTGGACTGGATTACCTCTGGGGAAGTTGATGCCTGGAGAATAGGCGTAGCCCCCACCCCCATGCACATGGCTACGCGCTCTCACACACACCAACACACACACACACACACCTCTGATCAGTGGACTGTGTCAAGCCAGAGGGCACTGCAGAATGTCCCCGAGGCTTGTTGTGGTTTGTTGGGAAGATCGAGCGATGTCTTTGTCCTACCTAGCTCTCCACTTTATAGACGATGCAAGGTCTTGGAAATTCTTGGTGGCCTTTGTGTTGCCTTTTATATGGGGGCTAGAATGGTGTTTGTGTTTTTCCAGACAGTGGTGTGCCTCTGATTGGATGACATGGGATTGTCGACCCTGTACGTGTGTGGTTCAGATAGGAGGCTGCCTGACTTTTTGTGCTGGGTGGCTGTGCGTGCTGGATTGTGTCTACTGGGGAGGTGGGGTACTACAGGGGAAGGAATGCCAAATCGGGGGCATTTAGCAGGGGAGAGGGGGAATAGAGTCTTTAAGGAAGCAGAAAAGTGGGTAGGGGGAAGAAGCTGCTTGCAACTCCAGCAGGAAGCCTTAAGTGTGATCCCCGGTCCACCAAACAAGACTGTGGGTGGGTGAGCTCAAGGGTGATGGGTGGGTGGCTGCAAACTGGAGCCGGAGGAGGGACAAGGTGGGTAAAATGAAGGGTTTTCCCTGGTACCTCCCCAGAGTGCTGGGCTGAGCTCAGAGGAGGGCCTCGTTTTTCCAGTAGACATCAGCCATGTCTTGGGTGGTGCGGCCTTATTGGAAGCTGCAGCCTGCAAGAGCCGAAACTGCCTTTGGCCATCAGCTAGAGCCCTGTGTTTTCTCTGGCTTCAGCTGCTTTCACTACCAGACGCCATTTTCTCCTTCTTCTTCTTCTTCTTCAGCTAGAGGTGTGTCACGATGTTATTAGCAATTATAAGTGAGATTAGAAAACATTAAAAAAGAAATCCTTAAAGCAAAATGTGGATTGTCCTGTCTCTCCCGTGTTGTTCTCTCTTCCTGGATCTGACCTTGAGGAGTTAGGGAGAAAGAGTTACGTCATTGCCTGGGAAAGGGGAGAGTTGGGGAGTCGGATGCCTCGGAGGTAGATTACTGTGGCAAACCCAGAAAAGGGCCTGCTCTGGGGATCTCAGGCTGTGCTCTCCTTGTACAGCCTCTCAGGTATAGATGGGAGAGTTGCAAAACAGGCAAGCAACCCTTCCCAAGCTTGCCACCTGGAAATAAGACTGTCCTAGTTGTGGCCAGGCCCCATCGCCCTCAGTATGCTCTTTCTGTGGATGAGCCAGTTGCGCTGCAGCACTGATCTGTGGGCTAGCTGTGGCTTCTCTGCGGACAAGGCAAGTGCAG